AAGTTCACTTGCCAGTCGGCCCAGTGACTGTGGAGATTTACTGGCCCGACTGGAATTTTACTAGCCACGGACTAGCGGACCAGTGGCTATTTCGCACATTGCATCAAACCACAGATGTCCGGTACGTTGCATACGCGTATATATCTTAACATATGTATCTTACTTGACAGTGTAGAAACAGCGAGGGTCATTATTCAACGAGGGTATCTTTTCATTACGTGAACCGGGTTTATTTTCAATAGCAGCCGGGTAAATATTCAATGTTGAAAAAAGACCCCGGGCGTTGAAAAGTGAGTCCGGGTAATAATTCAATGTTGAAAATGTACCCGCCGGGCACCTTTTCAACGCAGGTATGTTTTCAATCTTACACCGGCTTTCAAAATTGGTGACAGTATCATAGAACCAAGTAAAAAGGCTCGCAATCTGGGAGTAATTCAGGACTCTGTTTTTTCACTTGAAGACCATATCAGCCAAATCTGCAAACAGGCATACTTCCATATCAGGAACATTGCTCTAATAAGGAAGTATATAAACACACGTGTGGCTGCATCACTCATCCAGGCATACGTGTTATCCCGTCTGGATTATTGTAATGCTCTCTTGGTTGGGTTACCAAAACAACGAATTGCAAAGTTACAGCGGGTACAAAATTTAGCTGCTAGAGTTATCTCTCGAACCGGCAAAAATGAGCACATAACTCCAGTTCTGATGCATCTGCATTGGCTCCCAATAGTCAAACGGATAGAATTTAAGATTCTTGTGCTTGTATACAAAGCTTTTCACGGTATTGGCCCATCATACATCAATGAACTGATCCAGTGCCATCAACCCTCCCGTTCCCTACGTTCTAGTAGTGCCCAGTTACTAGTTGTGCCACGTACGAGAACAAAGACATTTGGAGACAGATGTTTCTCAAAAGCAGGTCCTTTACTTTGGAACAACATCCCATTGGGCATTAAAAGTGCAGAGAAAATCTGTGCATTTAAGAGAATGTTGAAAACATTCTTTTTCAAATCATGTTACAGTTCCGAGTGACACTTTCTTTGTCAGACTCATACGAAAGCGCCTTTGAGCAGGACTCATCTGGATATTGGCGCTATATAAATCTCTATATATTATTATTATTTATTATTATGTCCATCCAAATGTGATAAAATTCTCCTCACTGTTAAGTTGTAAAAATCCAGTTCTTCTACAAAATATGTCAATGTTCATTTACTATGCTATGATTACCCGATCTAAATTCCTCTCAAATGTAACATAACTTTATGTACTATAAGCCTGAGGCCTCCTCAGTGCAAATAAAGATTATTATTATTATTATTATTATTATGACGCGAAATACTTTCCCATACTATGACATTTACAGACGGTTTTCATCACTCTTTTCTCACTGGCTTGTATTGCATGGATCTCGTAGGGATGCTTGGGGATGTTACCAGCAGTGTGATTCTGATCCGTGATACTGATACTGTGAAACTGATGCTGCAATACTGACACTTTGATACTGATACGTGATACTGATACCGTGATACTGATACTGTGATACTGATACTTTGATACTGATACGTGAAACTGATACGTGAAACTGATACGTGAAACTGATACTGTGATACTGATACTGTGATACTGATACGTGATACTGATACTGATACTGATACTTTGATACTGATACTTTGATACTGATACGTGATACAGACACTGTGATACTGATACTTTGATACTGATACATGATACTGATACGTGATACTGATACGTGATACTGATACTGTAATACTGATACTGTGAAACTGATACTGAGATACTGATACTTTGATACTGATACGTGATGCTGATACGTGATACTGTGATACTGATACTTTGATACTGATACTTTGATACTGATACCGTGATACTGATACTGTAATGCCGATAATGTGCTACCGATACAGTGCTTCTGATACTGTGCTACTGATACTGTGATACCGATAGTGTGATACTGATACTGTGGTACTGATACTGTGCTAATGATACTGTGATAATTGATACTGGGAAACTGATACTGGGATACCGATACCGTGATACTGATACTGTGACACTTATACCGTCATACTGATACTCTGATAGTGATACCGTGATACCGCTACTGTGTTACCGCTACTGTGCTACTGATACTGTGCTACTGATACTGTGCTACTGACACTGTGCTACTGATACTGTGCTACTGATACTGTGATACCGATACCGTGATAATGATACCGTGATGCTGATGGTGTGCTACTGACACTGTGATACCGATACCGTGATACTGATACTGTGCTACTGATAGTGTGCTACCGATACCGTGCTACTGATACTGTGCTACTGATACTGTGCTACTGATACTGTGATACTGATACCGTGATACTGATACTTTGATACTAATGCTGTTCTTCTGATACTGTGCTACTGATACTGTGCTACTGACACTGTGCTACTGCTACTGTGCTACTGATACTGTGATACCGATAGTGTGCTACTGATACTGTGCTAATGATACTGTGATAATTGATACTGGGAAACTGATACTGGGATACCGATACCGTGATACTGATACTGTGACACTTATACCGTCATACTGATACTCTGATAGTGATACCGTGATACCGCTACTGTGTTACCGCTACTGTGCTACTGATACTGTGCTACTGATACTGTGCTACTGACACTGTGCTACTGATACTGTGCTACTGATACTGTGATACCGATACCGTGATAATGATACCGTGATGCTGATGGTGTGCTACTGACACTGTGATACCGATACCGTGATACTGATACTGTGCTACTGATAGTGTGCTACCGATACCGTGCTACTGATACTGTGCTACTGATACTGTGCTACTGATACTGTGATACTGATACCGTGATACTGATACTTTGATACTAATGCTGTTCTTCTGATACTGTGCTACTGATACTGTGCTACTGACACTGTGCTACTGCTACTGTGCTACTGATACTGTGATACCGATAGTGTGCTACTGATACTGTGCTACTGATACTGTGATACCGACACCGTGATACTGATACTGCGATACTGATACTGTGCTACTGATGCTGTGATACCGATACCGCGATACTGATACTGTGCTACTGACACTGTGCTACTGATACTGTGCTACTGACACTGTGCTACTGATACTGTGCTACTGATACTGTGCTACTGATACCGTGACACTGATACTGTGCTACTGATACTGTGTTACTGACACTGTGATACTGATACTGTGCTACTGATACCGTGATACTGATACTGTGATACTGATACTGTGATACTGATACTGTGCTACTGATACTGTGCTACTGATACTGTGATACCGAGACTGTGATACTGACACTGTGCTAGTGATACCGTGATACTGATACTGTGCTACTGATACTGTGATACTGAGACTATGATACTGATACTGTGCTACATATACTGTGATACTGATATCCTGATACTGATACTGTGATACTGAGACTATGATACTGATACTGTGCTACTGATACTGTGATACCGATACCGTGATACTGATACCGTGATACCGATACCGTGATACCGATACCGTGATACCGATACTTTGATACCGATGCTGTTCCTTCCGATACCGTGCTACTGATACCGTGCTACTGACACCGTGCTACTGATACCGTGCTACTGATACCGACCGATACCGTGCCACTGATACCGTGCCACTGATACCGTGATACCGATACCGCGCTACTGATACCGTGCCACTGATACCGTGCCACTGATACCGTGATACCGATACCGTGATACCGATTACCGTGATACCGATACCGTGATACTGATACCGTGCCACTGATACCGTGATACCGAGATCCGTGATACCGACACTGTGCTAGCGATACCGTGATACCGATACCGTGATACCGATACCGTGCCACTGATACCGTGATACCGAGACCGTGATACCGACACTGTGCCAGTGATACCGTGATACCGATACCGTGCCGCTGATACCGTGATACCGAGACCATGATACCGATACCGTGCCACATACACCGTGATACCGATATCCTGATACCGATACCGTGATACCGATACCGTGATACCGAGACTATGATACTGATACTGTGCTACATATACTGTGCTACATATACTGTGATACTGATACTGTGATACTGATACTGTGATACTGAGACTGTGATACTGATACTGTGCTACAGATACTGTGATACTGATACTGTGCTACTGATAGTGTTACTGATATGTGATACTGATACCATGGTACTGATATTGTGATAGTGATACCGTGATAATGATACTGTGCTACTGATACTGTGATACGTGATACTGATACGGGATGCTGAAACTGTGGTACTGATACTGTGATACTGATAATGTGATACTGATACTGTGATACTGATACTGTGGTACTGATACTTTGCTACTGATACTGTGATACCGATACTGTGGTAGTGATACTGTGCTACCGATACTGTGCTACTGATACTGTTGTACTGATACTGTGCTACTGGTACAGTGATACTGCGATACTGATAACGTGATACTGATACTGTGATACTGCGATACTGATAACGTGATACTGATACTGTGATACCGATCCTGTGATACCGATACTGTGATACTGATACTGATGGTGAACGTATGGTCACAGACCGCCGTATTGGGGTATTGCTTTGCCGCAGGGGTGATGCTTTGGGCGGCTTTTGACATCAAAGAAACAATAACCTTTTTGGTGAAAATGGTATAAGCGGCGGCTGCTACCATTAGAACAGGACATGTTTCCGAACACCCGGTGTCATATTACACTTTCTCAGGGGTCCATTTAAAAGACTCTCATCGCCATGTTGCTGTTACACCATGTGGAATCTGTTTCGACGGTGAATCAAGGTTATTCCTTCCGGTTGACGTTAGATGATATATCTTTTTCCTAGACATATGTAACGCTCATTTGTAACGTTCAGCTCAAACCTAAAGCATTTTTTGTTAATTTGATCTTGTTTTGCAGACAAGATGTCTAGCGAACCACCCCCTCCACCCACCTACGAGCAGGTCTTGTTAGAGACCCAGGATGATGCCAATATGGAAATATTCACAGTACAAAACTCCGGTAAGACTTCCCCTATAAGTATTTTCGTGTTTGATATTTTTGGCGCGGAAACAAAGAAGTCATAAGATGAAACATCAATACACGGGGAAAACGTGACTGAACATTAGGCAGTATCTTCAATTTAATGAAAATATATGAAGCTTCATTTGTTGAAATGAAATAGAACTGAGCCATGAGTGAAAACTGGACGAGTTAACAAAAAGCACTCTACTACAAAGACTATCAAATGAGGAAAAGCCAGTGGTTGGTTGATGTCCTCTTTGTGGAGTACCTAGTTGGATGGCTGGACAACGTGGACAACGTGGACAACGATCCATGACATTCCAGGGGATTCTTGTGGACATGTCTGGGAGGCGCAGGGCACATCAATATTGACGCTGTTCTGTACAGTTCCGACTGTTTGGGGCCAGGCGTTGTCATGCTGATAAAGCGACATTACGCGGCCGATGTTGTAGAAGTGGTTTGGCAGTTGGGTGAATAATGCCATCAATGTAACGCTGAGCTGTCACATTGCTCTTTACCAACGACCAGTGGTGTTCTCGACGGCACACAAACTCCTTCCTCACACGATAACTACCCTCGGCCATAAGATCTCGGCCTCCTGAACGCCACCGCCGTTCTTTCTTCCATTCAGCGTTAAACACAGTGTCTTTCTTCGACGCTTATCTTACAGAACCGGATTTCCAAAGTGATGAAGACCCTGAGCCAGTCACGTCCCTGACGACGATGGTGCTCTGTTAATAACTGTCCCCAGTAAGCTCTGTAAGCCCTAATTCGATGAACCATGTCTCGCCTGGTCTCTGTCTGTCAATTTACCATATGACGCAAGGCATTCATCGCTGATGATGTTACTATGTCAGAAATCGATTCCGCAGATGCAAAGTACAAAAAGTAAGGCGTAGGTACCCCTAGTCTTAATGTTCTTGTCTTCGTCCGATGTCAGGGCGGCCTGTCTGTAACGTTGCATCATGGTAGTTACAGCGACACGGAGAAACCAAACGTTGTACCAATGTTTGCAAGGGTGGCCCCAATGTCATTTTGTTCAACATTCTCTGACACTGCAGTCTAGATAAGCAATAGTCATTTTCAGCACAGGTTAATGGTAAGGGTGAAAACTAGGTCTTGATATAGGCCAGTGGAACATGTATTCTTCATGATAATTCATTTCATACATCCATTCTTTCAAAAGGGGTAATGCACCCTCGATAATGATCGTGCACACGAACAGGGTTTCCATCTTAATGGCATGTATATATCAAGATGAATATTTTCTATCCATGATGAACTGCAATAATCCTTTGCTAAACATTTACGATCATGTTTTCGGCCCTGAAGTGCTGCGTTGATTACCACAGCACATGCCACCTCTTGACAAACGGAACAACGTAATCATCATCAGTAGTAGTAACCAAACTCATGTCTATTTTAATTTTACATTGTCATTATAATGAAGCCGTTTTTCACGTGTTTTATCAGGTGTGGGGAATCTAGATTATAGCGCCTACGAAGCCGACGGTCAAAGGCCGCCTCCACCAAGACAAGCTTTTGCAACATCATCTACTGAACAAGCTGCACCCTTACCCCGAGCAGGAACATCGGCACCTGCGGCCGACCCTTCTTTGAAAGGCTTCAAAAGCAAGGAAGACCGAAGAGGTGAACCGTCGTGAGGTCGTGTCAATTAGATCACACGTCCATTAAACATCCCATGACAGATATTCCTGTTTGTAATGGTGAACCAACGTAAGGTCGTGTCAATTAGATCACACCACCTTTAAACATCCCATGACAGATACCCCTGTTTGTAACGGTGAAACAACGTAAGGTAGTGTCAGTTAGGTCACACGTCCATTACACTTCCCATGACAGATATTCCTGTTTGTAATAATGAACCAACGTAAGATAGTGTCAATTAGATCACACCACCTTTAAACATTCCATGACAGATATTCCTGTTAGTAATGGTGAACCAACGTAAGGTCGTTTCAGTTAGAAAACACGGCCATGAAACATCCCATGACAGATATTCCTGTTTGTTTTACAGTGGGGTGTTTCTGTGGGCCTTTTTCGTCTTGGCTATAATCCTCCCCAAAAAGTAAGTACATGGTTGGAGATTTGGGCTCCTCTTCGGTAACGTTCTAGTGAACCTCCCGAGGCAAGACCACCTGTCTGTATTAAAGGCTAGTTTCTACCCTGGGCATTACCTACCTACTTTGCTAACAAACCTGTGATTATATGGGATTCAAACTCTGAAAAAATCATTATCATTATTTTTTACCAATTACATTTGTTGTCTTTAAAGGGTTAGAGCTATATGATGCGGGTTAAATCTTCTTTTTGATGTTCAAAAGGTGATGCACATTTGCGTCTTTCTTTACAGGAAAATAGTTCAAGGAAACGGCATAACTTTATCATATTTGTAAGTACCCGGAGAAGAATACAATTCAGGAACGTAGTCATACTAAACCTGTCTTATAAACCACTGACAATAACGAATGGCAGTTGGCATACCTAATTCGTGCATTGACAATATATCAGTGGAACATGTTTAGATCAGCTGTTTGTGACTTACGGCGATATGTAATGCCGTGACCGTCGGTCGTCTAGACGGATCACAAACCCAAGCAAGCTGAGACGGACGAACACTAGATTTGATGGTTACAGTCGCTGCTTCGATGTCGAGATCAAGTACAGTCAACTGTAACACTGAGTTGTGGATCGAACCTTTACACCTCAACTAGGTGCTTATTTACAAGGTGTGTGTTTGGTTGGCATGTAATTTACATACAAAGACGTTCTAGCTCCATGCATAACTGTAAATGCATTTGTGTTTCAGAGCTTCACCTATGCATGCCTTCTTGGAGCAGTATCTGGGTGAGTTTATATCTACATTTTGTGACATATTTATATATTCCTGGAGAAAAACTAAAATTACAATATATCTGGGCGCTATCTTCTATCAAATATGTTATCGTTGGTGGCAACTACCCACGAGAAGTGGTCCATATGTCATTATTGGCAACTGACATTTGATCCAGTTGATCATCACCAGTCACCTGAGTGGTGTTCCTGGACTCTAGCGTTCGCTGGCCACTACCAGGCGATGCCGTGTGTCGTTAGTGGCAACAAACAGACTGTCGGATAAATATGAAATTAATACATTTATCCAACTTGAATTCAGATATGTTGAACGTCATAGTATGAAATAGATACTCCGTCAACAACTCACATTTTAAGGACAGATAACAATCTATGGATGCGCAACTGCTTATTTAAAGTGAGAGCGATGTTAACATCGACATCAAGCAAGTGATGATCCTCAATAAGGATTGAAAGGCATATCTATCTAGGCGATGCGTTGTTAACTGGCTTCCCTATTTCATTGCAGTCCTAACTCCCATTGCACTGTACAAACACATCTTCACACTTGTATGTATGCCTCTCTATCGTGTTCTGTTCGTCACTTCTTTGATATCGATGTTAGAACACGTCGCTCTCACTGTAATAAATAGGTTGTTCATCTATAGATTGGTATACTTCCTTACAGCTCCAACTTCTACATGCCCCTCAAATAAGCTAATACACATTTGGATGAAATTACAGTAATTTTCTGTTCATATCGTTTTTAAAAACATTGTTTGAAGGGGGTTTGGGTGGAGTAGTACAAATCGGCTCTAAGTTACAATACGTAACTAAAAAAAACCCGTCTCGTGTCATGTTCTTTGCACCAGTCAATTTTTTTAACAACAGGCGTTAAACACGTGCAAACATGTATCAAACATGTATATTTTGCTCAAATGTATTTCCATCAATGTTATATTTCAGGCATTTTGCAACCTACAGCTTGCTGTCCGCTAGTGTAATGATGGGACTCACCTACCTGTCTGTCGCCATCTTTTCCGTAAAGGTAGGGACGATCATAGTATAAAATAGATATCTTTTTATCTTTTTTCCGCTCACTTCAACAAGCGCCGTTGAGCAGTCATGTCCAATCTGGAAACCAGGCTCTACACAAATCAATTATCATTCATTCATTCATTCATTCATTCATCAGAGGACTAGAAACTGTCTTTCTAAACTTTGTAAGATATTCCATTAAACTCTCTTTTCATATGTGTTATGAAATATTGGCTGAAAGCGTTCGCTCGTCACGCCGACGTCGACGGTTTCGATTCTTCACATGGGTACAATATGTGAAGCCCATTTTCCGTGTCCCTCGCCGTGATATTGCTGGAATATTGCTAAAACTAAACTCACTCATTCACTCACTTATGTTACTATTAAAACGTGAAATACACAAACCATGGCCTTGTTTAGTCAGTTAAGTCATGGGGCAATGAGGTAGTGTTCGTTCTTCAAGCCGAAGTTCCGGGTTCGATTCCACACTTAGGTACAATATTTGGAGTCCATTTCTGATGTCCCCTGCCGCGACATTGAAGGAATAGAGACGTGGAACCCGACTTACCTACTCAGCCTTTTAATCCGTTGAGATCCGGGTTAGAATTTGTCTTCAGCAACCCATGCTTGTCGTAAGAGGCGACTAACGGGATCGGGTTGGTGACACATGTCATCGTATCTTAATTGCGTCGATCGATGCTCATGCTGTTGGTCACTGGAATGTCTGGCCCAGACACGATTATTTACAGACTGCAGACATATAATTGGAATATTGCTGAGTGCGGCGTTAAACAACGACCATCGAACTACTCACTGTTTAACTTATGTAACACAACCTTTATGTTTTAGGCTGACATCAACATGAAGAAGGGGCTAATTTTTGTCACCGTCGTGGTGTTCGTCGTCACTGGCGCCATCTGCATCGGCACTTACTTCGCCTTTGGACTTTACAAGGTGAGTGACAGTGAAGGACCATGCCACATACTTACGTCAAGCACCACCAGCACAGAAAATACTATTATGAGTCTTTCAAGTCTTAAATATTTTAAAATCTGAGACATTCAACACATTTTTGTAGTTTAACCAGCTGTGTTGTAGTTTAACATGACACAAGCTTGCAACGTAAACAGTATTTTGTTATAATAAGGTGAAATACCTTATATGTTTATATTTACAGCTTCGGGACACTGCCATTGGTGGAGCCATTGCATTTGTCCTCTGTGAGGTAAGTGAATAGGATGGACAGACGCAGATGAATTTCCGAGTACAAGGAAATATTTAAAGAAGTGTTATTTTTTATGAAAACACAAATTCTTTATGGATCGTGAAAAAACTGACGGCGGATTTTTTATGCATAAATGTGCAGAATACAGGAACCTCTGACATTGTTTTGTACTAAGTAACATTATACCAACTGTAACTATAGTTTCTATAAGGATTATATGTTATGAGAGTTTTGTGTGAACAATAAGGTACATGAAATTACTATTCTTTATGCATCGTTAATACAAAGGCATGATCATGCTGTTGATCCCTGGATTGTCTGGTCCAGACTCGATTATTTACAGGCCGCCGCAATATAGCTGGAATATAGCTGAGTGCGGCGTAAAACTAAACTCACTCACTCATTATCATCACTGATTATCAAAGCAGCTACGTTTTAGTGTTTTAATGTGCTAAGTATACATGTAGATAGTAGACGAGATGCATTGTTTGTCGAATTACGTCCACATCTTGTGATTAAAAATACAGAGATTTAAACCTGATGAAGATCAGTGAACGCCCAAGGGTAAACATTAATGTTATTACAATTAGTGATGCTGGTATATTCCCTTTCAGCTCTTTACCACGTCCATTCAGCTGATGCTAGCTAAGGACAACCATGGTTTCACCAAAGAGAACCACTGCCTGGCTTTCTTTAATATATTTTCGCATACGAAGGATGCAATTATCCTTTGCATAGCTAAGCTTTTGTGTTGCGCAATATAGCCTGTGCTGCGAATGTTGCTCAAATTTCAAGACCCCGTAGGTTCTCCGCCATGGCTGAGACACGACACGAGGCATATTGTATGTTTTATTACCTTGATAACGTGGTACATGTACACACAATTACTAGCAATATCAGTAGTGTCAATATGTATCTGTTTTAGACAGTGTTATTTTCCCGTCTAAGAACTGAAGTGCCTTTAGTTTGGTGGGTAGGTCTACTGATATTGATTTTGTTTGTTTTACTTTACTCGATCATGAATAGAATTGTTGGTTTTTTTATCTCTGTTCAGATTTCCCCTGACAGTAGAATTTCATCATCAGCATAAGTACTGGTTTTGTCCCTAAAGTTACAAAGTACAAAACTTAATTCTTCACATAGTTACATGTTCATTTTGGACCAAGATTGGAATGAAAAAAATCGTTGGTCTTAAGTTGTACTGAAACAGATGTTCGACATAATGGATTGCCGGCAAAAATATGTGCGACGAAGAAGAACAACTTACGATCGTGGGTTCAAATACCACCTCTTAAGCTGGCAAGCTGGAATGGAAGTGTTAGCACCCATAGTGTTAACTGTCTTGGTAGGTTCACCCATAGTGTTGGCATATCTGTCTGGCAGTGCTGTTGTCGCATCCTGTTCTTGGTAGGTTCCGCTGACACAACCATAGTGCTGGCACATCTGTCTGGTATAGATGTTACACCCTGGTCTTGATAGGTTCAACTGACGCTCCCATAGTGTTAACTGTCTGGTAGTGATGTTACAGATTCCGCAGACACAACCATAGTGTTGGCACATCTGTCTGGTAGTCATGTTGCACCCTGGTCTTGGTAGATTCCGCTGACACTACCATAGTGTTGGCACATCTGTCTGGTAGTGTGGTCTTGGTAGGCTCCGCCGACACAACCATAGTGTTGGCACGTCTGTCTGGTAGTCATGTTGCACCCTGGTCTTGGTAGATTCCGCTGACACTACCATAGTGTTGGCACATCTGTCTGGTAGTGTGGTCTTGGTAGGCTCCGCCGACACAACCATAGTGTTGGCACATCTGTCTGGTAGTCATGTTGCACCCTGGTCTTGGTAGATTCCGCTGACACTACCATAGTGTTGGCACATCTGTCTGGTAGTGTGGTCTTGGTAGGCTCCGCCGACACAACCATAGTGTTGGCACATCTGTCTGGTAGTCATGTTGCACCCTGGTCTTGGTAGGTTCACCCATAGTGTTGGCACGTCTGTCTGGTAGTGATGTCGGACCCTGGTCTTGGTAGGTTCCGCTGACACAATCATAGTGTTGGCACGTCTGTCTGGTAGTGATGTCGCACCCTGAACTTGGTAGGTTCCGGTGACACAACCATAGTGTTGGCACCGGAAGTGATGTATCTACTATGTTATTGACTTACTGTTAAGAATTTGTATATAACATGTAAATGTGTACATTTCCTTCACTCACTGACACTCAAATGAATAGTAATAAAACTTTACGAATTGCTGATATTTTATGAAGAAAACTACAGTTCAAGTCAAATACTATTTCACATGCTAGTAACGCTAGTTGATAAATAAAATACAATGTACCAGTATGAAATGAATATGTGTTCTTGTTTTTAATGAACATGATCAGTATTTATATCTCATGTTATTACTCACACTTAAGATGAAATGTTTAACCCCCTGAAGCAGGAGTATTGTTGTCACACATATCATGGGACCATATATACAGTTACAGACACTTGTGAGATTTTCCTAGTGGCCCAAGTGGTGATGTATCTGTAAAAAAAACCACACTTTTGGTGGTCACTAACTGCTATTTTCTTCTCCAAAATATCAGTGGCCCAAAGACAAAAGTGGTGGCCATCTGCCACTAGTAGTTTCTATCACTGTATATATGGTGCCATGCATATGGCAGTCTAAGGGTTAAGGTGATTTACAAGTTTGAATTCATTGAATATCTATAGGTTGGTATTTAAACATAAAACAGCAATGATAACAAAAGTCAAGGTGAGGTAAACATTCAGTTTAATGATTTAAACATCAATTCAATGAGAATATGTATTTATAATTTATCATTCTTGTTGGTGATATATCACATTGCAAAATCACATACATCTCATAAGCTTAAGCAGCCTACTAGATGTCTGAAACATACATGACTACTCAGTCTTTGTCCTTGATGAGTTCTGGTCTGAGGTTACACAGGACTGCACACACTTTGACTATCTTATCCAACTTTTGAACAGAATTAAGAGGTAGAACCTGATTCAAAATTCTGTAAGACTTCAACCTGGTAATTGCTCTTTCTACATGTATTCTTACAGATGCAATTCTTCGTGTTTCTATACACTCTGTAGCACTCAGTTGTTTACGACCCTTCATAAAAGCAGGAATGTTCACTTTCACTCTTCTAGCATTAAGTTCATTGCTTATTGTAAAGCCTCTATCTGTCATTACCTCATCACCAGGTAACAAGTAGTTTAGAAAAACCGAGTTCTTGGTGATATACACATCACTTGCACGACCCCGATAGCATCTTGAAACATACATAATATACCCATTGGGAGCAAACGCAACAAGAGTTTTGGCAGTATTGTGACTTTTATATGCACTGTAGGTTTGAGCTCTAACCTCCAATGAAAATGGACGTTGCAAGAACATTTCTGTAAGTCAATAATGCAGGTAGTGTGTGGATAGGTAGTCTTAAAGGACATTGGCATTGAGGATCTAATAACATCTCTTGGGAGCCAAACAATGCAATCCTTCAGCTTTCTGGCTAAAATTGAGATACAAATTCCTAAAATTTTACTTGCTAATTGCGTGGAAATTGAAAATCTTCTCCCGAGATCAAGAAACTGAATTCCCAGCCTAAGTCTCATAAGTGTGAGTAGTGTTTGATCTGAGAGTGGCATCTTAATGTTTGACCGCAGTACAGCTGTAAGATAACTTATTAATGACAGAAACACTTGTAGAGTAAGTCCAGTGTAAAACACAGAATCAGTGTCAGTCTTAATACTGTCTGCAGAAAAGGTAGGAAAATTAACCTGAACAGAGACATTCTTTGTTTTGGTCGTGTAGTGCTGGGTTGCATAACGGTGATCTACTGACTTGTTAAAATGAACGTGTACTCCTACAGTTCTGTTTGGAACTTTTATCATAGGTCTGTGAAGACAAAAACAAGACTTCTGTTTACAACAGTCACAATTTCTTGGTCTGGAGCCATCATTCTCCTTTTCCTTCTCTTCAGCTTGAGATACAGGTTGATCTGTCAGTTCAGCTTCAGCATGGCACTCCTCAGTCAGTTGATTGCTCCTTGGGGTCCGAGAAACATCAGAGAGAGGGTGTCGGAAAATGGTCCTTCTCCCTTGTGTCACCTGGAGAGTGGAAAGTTAAAGTATAACAGGCTATTATACATTTACATCAAGGAACAGTAATAAATAGTTAATAACATAATTGTCAAAATAACTTTACGTTTAATACATCACAAGTAGGACTATATTGTACATTACATTAAACTAAAAGTACACTAACCTTTATTTGATATCCCAAATTTAAGACTGGAACAGGATTTTGTTTGCTTGGATGGCCATCCAAAAAATGAATTGAGCATATCTGAAAAAAAGTTATAGAAATAAAATAATTACATTTCTATTTAGCCAATGTCACTCCAGTAACTGCAATGGGTTATCACATTTTCAACAATTTTGTTCACTCGAGCCTTTATGTTTATGTAAATAAGAAATTCTTTACATCCGTGTACTATGTGTACGCTAACGATACACGGAGGGTAAAGTAATTAAGTAATAATAAATTACATAATAAATTAATCGAGTAATGTTATTATTAACTAATTTTAAGTAAAGATATATTGAGTAAATAATGATAAATAGACTGTTTCCTCTCAATATTTTTGAGATATATTGCAAGATATCAGTAAGTTTCTACAATTGAAATGTCTCTAGAATAATGATTTGTAGCACATAAGCTTTTAAAATGTTGGAATATGTTACTAGTAAAAATTGTCGTTCAACCCTTTGTTGCATAGCTTTACCCTACAGTGCATTCGTACCTCCTATACTGTAACATAGGAGGTACGAATGCTACGAGATCTTAAGCTTACGAGAGCTTTGTGAAACGGGGTCCAGCACTGTAGGCCCTACATGAATAACAAAATATCTAATGTTTCATTATCTCTAGTTATCAGATGGGATAAACTATTGTGCCACTAATTATCTTGACATACCACAGTGCTATGAGATGAGTGAAAATCCTTCCGATTAACACGTGACACCCAAACACGACGACGATCTTCATTCACAGGAAACCTATGGAGATGATAGGGAAACAAACAAGGGCAGTCCTTCCGTGGCAGTTTATGGACTGTACAGGGCAATTCCTTCCATATACGTAGATTTCTCTGGCTATTTGAACAGTCTTTCATATCACAAATTCTCCCTGATCCACGTTCATAAGGCCTACATCTGTCCCGAGACATATTTTCGAAAAAACCCAGCAAGTTCCCAGACGTAAACGTCAATGTCAATTTGCAGCCGCTTAATGGCGGACGACTCTAGCGCCACCACAAAGGGGAATAATTGAGAGTGGCACCAAGCACTCCTGTGTGTACAATCAGCGTGTTCTCCAGGGACGCCAGTACCAAGGTCGGACTTGAGTTATTCTGGTATTGTGTACACATCATACTGAAACCATTGCTCTCCTGACAGTTCAATCGTTTTCGAGAGAATGAGCATGTTTACCTCCTGTGGGTGGAGAGAACATCACGGATGAATGGTTCAGCATGCTACATTGCCTTTGTGAGTGTCGTCGACCCATGTTGTCACGATGTAGTCGTTGAAGACGCCAGCTCTTGGGACGTCAGGAGTGTCATCCATGGCTTCAATCCAAGTGTCTTGGACCGCGGCTTGAGGAAGTAGAGGTAGTCCAGCTGCTCTCCTGATCCACTTGGTGACTTCGGGGTTTTCCTTGTAGGCAACAGCTAGTCCAAGATCCTGAACCTTCCTCCAGATGGCTTGACAGAAATGGAAGAAACAGCCCTTCACGTCAGCAGTGGGAAATTCTGTTTCTATGGCGTGGATTGCTGCTAGCTCAAAATCGGTCTGGATGCAGGCAGGATCAAGCGGTCTGTTGAGTCTCTGCTGAACTTCATCCTTGAGCAATCGGAAGAGTCTGGAGTAGGTTGTTGTCTGGCGGTCCGGAAGAAGGGCGAAGATGAGGGGATATGTTGTTCCGAAGGCCAAGATCTTGTCGTCATGGCCGTCCGCAAACAGGAGGAATGGTCTACCATCTGCTGTCTGCGTCCAGGGATCTTGGAGGTCGACTTCTGATCTCGTCTGTGGTAAGACAGGAATCGTCTTCTGGCGGTGGCGGTACAGGGCACTGCTAACAGATGGAAAGGAGGGCATGGTACGTGTCTCGTCATCAGTCAGGTTGGTAAGCTCGTTGTTGTAGATGGTGCGCATCGGTATTGACTCCTCCCTGGCTCTCTTCCTCAGGTTGCTGACAAACCGGACCTTCTGGCTATCCTCTGGTGGGTGATTGTGTTCAGTCGTATTTCTTACCACATCGCCAACAGTTGTGACTCTTCCTTTGCATGTTGACTGCACACACTTCCAGTGTACACAGGTCTGTCGCTCAACATTCTTAGTGTGAAGATATCCATCCAACAGAACTTGACGGCTACCTCTCCGTGACATAACAAACTCAGCATTGCGAAGACCAGCCATGTTGATGCCATGTTTGTTTCATGTCAGCACTTATATACTGTATGGAACAATCTCAATTTCCTGTATCATCTCCACGTTTTATTTCTCTCAACTTCTCAACATTGTAATATATGTAACATTAAAGTGCACTATAACAACTTTTCTTAACAACATTTAGCAATCACAACACTTTTCCAATTGTATGTTTCTTCTACTCAGGGTTGAGGTTTGTTTTCATCATGAGACCACTAATTTCCTTGCCACAAAAGACTAATCACATTTATGCATCCCTGATCTCATCTATGCTCCATGCACTAATCCCTCTTTAGGATTAGTCTATTATATCAGACAGGTAAATGCTAGGTGTTGTTTTAACTAGCTGTAGGGGTACTGGAGTGTAGGGGTAGTGGCATGTAGGGGTTATGGGTGTGAACCATCTTGAGTTACGCGGCGTCAGTACAGGCATTCTTCGTTCACGTTAACAGAATACTCGGCTACACCAAATACACGTCAGTAAGTAATCATGTTTGTATTTAGTTATACATATTCATTGAGAGAGAGAGGGAGAGAAAGTTGTTGGAACGTTATATCCGACCATGTTGCTAACTCAGCTAACTGATCATTACATGCCCAGATTAATGTTGAAAGTATTGCTGTGATTCCGTGGCTCATCTAACATGATATCAGTCGCGCAATATGTGGTAATCTACCCGCGAGTGAAAGGGTCATTAGTATTCACAAAAGGCGACGAGTGCGTCCATACCGTCTGTGTATACCTATGGATTTCACCGAGTGACGCGATTACTACTGCACGCTTCGCTATAGACGTTATTCTTCTGTCGCAGTTAAATACAGGGTTAGTCTCCGTTCCTGAAGAAACACGAGGTTAGGTATGCCTGTATATGAGGGTTGAGTGGTAAGTTAGCAATATCTGAAGACATTAACACGATTGTACAACGTAATCGATGTACTCATTGATAAATCTTTGCAGAGCGGGGAGTTATCCCAGTTGCGGTGAAGGCCTTCTCTTGTCTCCTAAGTTGCTATTACGTGAAATGTCCTGAGGTTTCAGCTTTCTTTATGCCTGGGAGCAGATGGAAGACTCAGGAGAAGAAAGGAGGACACGGGAGCAAATTGATATATTAACGACACACTTGTACTGTTAGCCATGTCACTTATTTGTGCACTGGCCTACTGTCCTGAGGAAAGGGAGTATCTTTTCTCAACTTCGCGCGACTGTCTTGATTTCATCTAGTAAATTTCTCCAAACTGCAATATCACGCTCTCTCTCTCTCGATGACAACCTCGGCTTCCTGGATCTTTGGTGTCTGAAGTATGAAATATTTCCACAGCTTTGGTTGTTGTTTACTGGACGTATTGAACCCAGGTTGAATTCATTTGCTAGTCGTTGCAAGAACCTTTCTGAGTCAGCTTCAAACGACACATTTGCCTGGCGCGTTTACTGAGGCAAACGACCTTAACCGATTTTTGTTCTCTTATATTCATAAATGGCTTTAGGTGTTAAGCCCTTCTCTGTAATTTAAACCCGTTCCTGAAGTTCGTGCATTAAGCAAAAGTCACAGAAACCTGCGTATTTTTCCGTCTTTTCACAACGAAAAATCACAAGATTTTGTGGACACAAGATCACAAGATTCTGTGACATCAAGTAATGACCACTACAGAAGATCTCTGTAACTTAATTTGTTCTACGTGAGTATCAGAGCGTATCAATATACCCCCGTATCTGCCTGTACACTGTACATCTTGTACTCTGTACATATTGTCCACTGGTTTATCCAAAACACACTGAAAAATATAAGGCAGTCTAAAACTTTACTAAAGACAGAAACAGTTTAATAATTTCCCACAAGTAAGTTATACAGTGTTTACGATACATTCTGTACCGACAAAACATCCGGCTAATAAATATACATACAAGAGTGATGAGTGACTTTAGTTTTACGCCGCACTCAGCAATATTCCAGCTATATGGCGGCAGTCTGTAAATAATCGAGTCTGGACCAGACAGTCCAGTGATCAACAACATGAGCATCGATCTGCACAATTGGGAACCGACGACATATGTCATCCAAGTCAGCGAGCCTGACCACCCGATCCCGTTAGTCGCCTCTTACGACAAGCATGGGTTACTGAAGGCACATTCTAACCCGGGCCTTCACGGGTATACATACAAGACTAGTGATACTAAACAGTGAATTGTTGTCTAAGATCAGATATGACTGTTTACACGTCACATATTCAGCTGGTGTCTGAAATATGATGCTTGGTGATACAAGACAGGTTGATCAATAACACTTACGTTCTACTAACAAACTGTTTTTGTCATTTAAAACGTTTATGTCAAAGGCTTTTAAACATGGGAAGATCTTCATGAAAGTCACTATTATTTACACAATCGGTTTTTACAAAATTAATGAATACGATAAATCATTTGCATTTCATTAGTATATATACACAAGGAACTTAGTTAATTACTCCTTGACATATCTCACGATTGAATGATTGTGAAATGATTGTTCATCGTGTGCAACAAAGGGATCCTCCTGTACAGAACCTGGTCTAATTGGAAGCTGGTTTACACTAGGAATGGCGTAGACTGCCTCTTCAGAGGAACAGGAGGCTGTCAGGGGGTATGAGGAGGAAAGAGCTGGCTGTCATACAGTCACATGGAGGTTACACTCGGTATTTACCTAGAATCGTGTAAGAAACGCAAAATGACATTTTGAATGTGTTTCGTGGTCACCATGAGAAGTTTTAGGTACGTGCTGAAAACCTATCATTGCAAAAGTACAGTCGGTGCTTAATTAAAGGTCACATGCAACGTAAAACACAACTTTGCAGATTCTGATACCTTTCGGTATGGACATACCGAAACAAATCGTCAAAAATGCAAATTCAACTAATAAAGTTGAAAAATAACGCGATGAAAAAAAACGCGCGAAATCGGAGTTCAAACGTTTCACTAATTTTCCCCAGACTTTTCTGGGGAAAACGGGTTTCAACAGCTGGGCTGCGCTCATAGCACGTACGCAAGTAAATAGGTTCGCGCAGCTTGGAAGCGGGTTGTCGGGTGAATACTCGGTGAAGGCATTGGTGTGAGCTATTTTTCTAATGTTTTGTTGATATCTCACAGGCGCGAGCTTTTTATATGTTATGACAGTAAATTAACTGTTTATATAATTTCATTTGTCTATTTCACCACACGTTCTTCTTACCGAGACACTTTCTCAGTTCGATACTTAAAAGCAATGTTATTATTTAGCGTTGACAGAATTTCAAACTGTGATATAGATATGTCGTTGTCACAGACAAAACTCAATGTCTGTTTTATTGACACCTGTGTGTCTGCCTGCCTGTCTGCTAATGACAATATTCAATACACAACTGCGATCACTGACCACATGCAATTTGAACTTAACACCAATCAGGCTATACACCATAAACAAAATGCATTGATTTATGGCACGAGTTCGGTCTCTGTCACATTATGTAATTAGACAGACAGGCAGGTGTGATACTTGTATACATGACATGTTATGATGTCTGTTGATTGCAAAATGTTATGCACCAAAAATGGGCATGTATTTACAAAACCCAACATCTCTATATATACACACACAATCAGCCGTAAGGGCATCTGCAAATGAACCAGCCGTTACACTTGAGTGCACACCCACCTGCTCTGACTGGGTTCGGTATCCCGGCTGCTTCGTTTCGAGGGAAGTAAACCCAAGTACACAATATTGCACTTTTGATTTGCGATTGTACGCTTATAATTTTGTTTATATGTTTTTTCATAACCAGCAATGTATATTATATGTCATGAATAAGTGATAATTGTGTTTTAATTATGTTTGATTTTTTGGTTGCATGTGACCTTTAACAAAAAGCACTCTACTACAAAGACTATCAAATGAGGAAAAGCCAGTGGTTGGTTGATGTCCTCTTTGTGGAGTACCTAGTTGGATGGCTGGACGACGTGGACAACGTGGACAACGATCCATGACATTCCAGGGGGATTCTTGTGGACATGTCTGGGAGGCGTGCAGGGCACATCAATATTGACGCTGTTGGCTGCAAGGAAGTTCTATACAATTCCGGCTGTTTGGGGCCAGGCGTTGTCATGCTGATAAAGGACATTACGCGGCCGCTGTTGTAGAAGTGGTTTGGCAGTTGGGTGAATAATGCCATCAATGTAACGCTGAGCTGTCACATTTCCATTACATCCGGCACACAAATTCCAACCCACACCATAACTACCCTCGGCCATAAGACCCGACCTCCTGAACGCCACCGTTGTTCTTTCTTCTATTGAACTGTGTAATGTCAATAACGAATGTATCTGCTTTTCAATCTAGTGCTATGACATTCTCTGTTCTAAAAATGACAACGTAATGAATGTATGTCTTTGAAACGAAACCACTTTGTACTTACAATGTATATTAATGCAGACTTGTTCTCGTCACTATATGGCTGGAATAATGCCGATGTGACGTAAAGCCCAACTCAACTCAACTCAACTCTTTCTTCTATTCGGCACGGTGTCTTCCTTCAGCGCTGAACTGACAAAACCAGTTTTCCATCGTGATGAAGACCCTCAGCCAGTCACGTCGCTGCCAACGATGTGCAGTCCAGGCCAATCTCAGTTTCTGACGACGATTGTGTTCTGTTAATAATTGTCTCCTGTAAGCTCTGTAAACCCTAAGTCAATGAGCCATGTCTCGCCTGGCCTCTGTCTGTCGACTTACCATGTGACGCAAGGCATTCATCGCTGATGATGTTACTGTGTCAGGAATCGATTCCGCAGATGCAAAGTACAAAAGGACCGGGCATTATTAGGCGTAGGTACCCCTAGTCTTAATGTTCTTGTCTGTAACGTTGCATCAAGGCAGTTACAGCGACACCGGAGCAACCGAACGTTATATCAATGTTTGCAAGGGTGGTCTCAATCTCATTTTGTTCATAATTCTCTGATATTGCACTAGTCATTTTCAAAAAGATAAGGAATAGTCATTTTCAGCACAGGTTAATGGCAAGGGTGAAAACTGGGCCTTGATATAGGCCAGTGGAATATGTATTCTTCATGATAATTCATTTCATACATCCATTCTTTCAAAAAGATGGTTAATGCACCTCGAGAATGATCGTGCAGACGAACAGTATTTCTTTCATAATGGCATGTATATATCAAGATGAATATCTGCTATCCGTGATGAAAGTCAACAACCCTTGGCTTAAACAATGCTAAAAAGGATGTTTTCGGCTCTGAAGCGCTGCGTTGATTACCATAGCACATGCCACCTGTTTAACAAACGGGATAAGGCGGGATTTGTTTTGTCTAGCGGGGGTGGTTAAAATATATTTAATTTAATATTGTCATTGCAATGAAGCTGCATCCTGTACATTGTATGTTTTCAGGTGTGAGAAATTTGGGTTATGTCCCCTACGTACCCGATGGTCAAAAGCCGCCTCCACCAAGGCAAGCCTTTGTAACATCATCTACGGAACAAGTTCTCACGACAGCAGTAGCAGCAGCATAAGCAGCAACAGCACCACCACCACCTCCAGAACCAGCACAAGCACCAAAGCCAAAGCCAAAACCAAAGCCAGCTACCGGAGCAGGAACATCGGCACCTGTGGCCGACCCTTCTTTGAAAGGCTTCAAAAGCAAGGAAAACCGAAGAGCAATGACATGGAGGGTAGGTCTCTTATGTTAGAATGCTGAAAAGGATCATAAAACATATTGTGTTATTTCACTAGAGACATATTTATATATTTAAGTAAAGCTAACATAGCGAGGAAACAACCAACCAACCAACCAATCAATCAATCAATCAATCAATCAATCAATCAATCAATCAATCAATCAATCTCTAGAGTACACTAAATAACGTTACGGCATTATTCTCAATGTTAAAGAGATATACTGGATCCTTGGATTACCTTCATTACACCGCCCCATGATACTACTAGAGCCTATGTGCCAATACTTTTACAGCTGTACCTTCTCCTCATGGCGATACAGATATCAGCGGTTGGGTCTGTCAGTATCTTTGTCTTTTTGTAAGTAAACAATGCTTTCTTTAAGGATATAACTGCAAGGACGCAAGACTGTCTTCTTTCAGATGACTTCTTTGCACATATCACCAATATAATAATAATTTGATAAATAGTTAAAATCTTTGGTGATTTAAATCGGATCATTCGTCCTGTGAGTGCAGACAGATCAATGTATAGATGAAGATCAACACTTGTAACATACCTGTGGTCGCCATGCCATTTCCCATCACTCATCAAGGCAACGCCCTGCAAATGGGTGATACTGTGTGTTTTTCAGCAAACCGATCACAGGTTGGATGGGTTGCCTCTGCTGTACGCTTCCATGTAAGTGTAGAGTCATCCCACGTACTATCAGCTCTGAGATGGTGAAAGATGTGCAAGGTATTCAGTCTGAGAGACCCGTCTTTAATCACTTATTCAAAGTGCTTCAGTTTTTCAGACCTCGTGTTGTGCGAAGTTGGGATGTTAAACATGTGAACTCTGTTGACCGACAATAGTCTGAGGATACCTTATATTCATTCATCATTCATCAGCTGTAATAATGAACCAACGTAAGGTCACACCACCATTAAACATCCCATGACAGATATTCCTGTTTGTAATGGTGAACCAACGTAAGGTCGTGTCAGTTAGGTCACACCACCATTAAACATCCCATGACAGATATTCCTGTTTGTAATGGTGAACCAACGTACGGTCGTGTCAGTTAGATCACACGTCCATTAAACACCCCATGACAGATATTCCTGTTTGTAATGGTGAACCAACGTACGGTCGTGTCAGTTAGGTCACACCACCATTAAACATCCCATGACCGATACTCCTGTTTGTAATGGTGAACCAACGTAAGGTCGTTTCAGTTAGATCACACGACCTTTAAACATTCCATGACAGATATTCCTGTTTTTTTTGCAGGGGGGTGTTTCTTTGGGCCTTTGTCGTCTTGGCTATAATCGTCCCCAAAAAGTAAGTACATGGTAGGAGATCTGGGCACCTCCTTTGTAACGTTCTAGTGAACCTCCCTAGGCAAAACCACTTGTCTGTATTAAAAGCTTGTTTCTACTTGGGGCACTACCAACCTATGTTCGTATCAAACCTGTGATTATAACCAATGCAAATATGGGATTCAAACTCCTGAAAAAAAATCCATTTTATTATTTTTTACGAATCATATTTGTTGTCTTTAAAGTGTTAGAGCTGTAGGATGCGGGTTAAATCTTTTTTGTAATGTTCAACAGGTGATGCACATTTGCGTCTTTCTTTACAGGAAAATAGTTGAAGGAAACGGCATCCGCTTTATCATATTTGTAAGTACCCGGAGAAGTATACAAGTCAGGAACGTAGTGCTATTAAACCTTTCTTATAAACCATTGACAGTAAGAAATGCTTGATCAGAATGGTAGTTGGCATGCCTAATTCGTGCATTGACAATATATCAGTGGAACATGTTTAGATCAGCTGTTTGTGACTTACGGCGATATGTAATGCCGTGACCGTCAGTCGTCTAGACGGATCACAAACCCAAGCAAGCTGAGACGGACGAACACTAGATTTGATGGTTACAGTTGCTGCTTCGATGTCGAGATCCAGTACAGTCACCTGTAACATTGACTTGAGGATCGAACCTTTACACCTCAACTAGGTGCATATTTACATGTGTGTGTTTGGTTTGCATGTAATTTACATGCAAAGACGTTCTAGCTCCATGCACAGCTGTGAATTCATTTGTGTTTCACAGCTTCACCTATGCATGCCTTCTTGGAGCAGTATCTGGGTGAGTTTAAATCTACCATTTGTGATATATTCATATATTCCTGGAAACAATATAAAAATACAATATATCTGGACGCTATCATCTATAGAAAATGTTATCGTTGGTGGCAACTGCCATTTGATCCAGTTGATCATCGCCAGTCAACAATGTTATCTTTAGTATACCTACATATCATAAGATCGTAATGGCCTCTACCCACGAGAAGTGGTCCAGATTGTCGATCCTACAAACTGAAATCCTTTGGACACCGATCGTTCTCTACTCTGCACCTGTGCTTTGGAACTCTCTCCCATGTGCCTTTAAAAGCTCTGACACAATTGACATGTTTAAGTCCAGACTTAAAACCCACCATTTCTCAGTATATGACGTATAATTTCAGCTGTAAATACTACAGTGTAAATATTCTGTAGCGCTTTGAGCATGCCTTAGGGTGTGGAAAGGGCGCATTATAAATATGCATTTATTATTAGGTTTTACAGATTAAGATGAAAATGCAGCAGAGAGGGTTCGGGTGATCCTGGCACAGTCAGGCTGGTAAGGCTCATCATCAGCTCAGGGCCCTTGCCCCTACACGCAGCCCAGACAGCGAATGGGACTTCTCCCAGGAAACGCTGCCTGGTGGAACCCACCAAGAACTTTCCGGAGAATATGAAGACTCCCCAACACTGCAGCCTTCTACATTACCCAGAGTGTCAAAAGGGCTGTACTCCCGGTGGAGAACCCGGGCACTCTCCTGATCTGCGCAAAGAGATCAGGAGGTACCAAACCAAGGGCACTGAGAACAGTGGGGAGCCTGACGACAGTGTACTTGGGATGCAAGCGAGACATTTCAAAGGCGAGGTCCGCATATTTAGCATGCTTTTCCTGAATCTTGCCAATCACGTTGCTGTCAAAAGGGACAGAAAATTCAATGATATAAATAAATTCATTAGCTTTATCAAAAAGGACAAGATCAGGTTTATTGGCTGGAATTCTTCTGAGGCTGTATATGGGCCTATTCAACAAAAGCTTGAAAGCATCATTTTCCATGACGCCCTGGACATGTTCACGGTCGTAGCATGGATGGACCTCGGAATCAAAGCCACAGGCATGGCGAAGACGATAGTAGAAACAACAAGGTATGCTGTTTGTGCCAAGGAAGGGCATCAACTGACAAGATGTTGGACAGTCTCTGTAAATTCATTACACAGTCGGCATTTCATGTTAATATTTAGTTTAAAAATCACATTTTGGCGATTACGAGTGTGAAGTGACTGGTCCTGAGCAGCAAAAAGAAAGCCCTCATTTTCACATTTGAGACCAGTCGACTTCATCCATATTGTTGTTATCGGCAGCTGCTATTTGATCCAGTTCATCATCATCACTCAACAATGTCATCTTTAGTATATCTACATAGCATAAGATCTTAATGGCATCTACCCACGAGAAGTGGTCCATGTGTCGTTATTGGCAACTGACATTTGAGCTCGATGATCATCACCAGTCAACAATGTTATCTTTAGTATACCTACATAACATAAGATCTTAATAGCATCTACCCACGAGAAGTGGTCCATGTGTCGTTATTGGCAACTGAAATTCGATCCGGGTCAACACTTCCAGTCCAAGGCGTTACCTGTGAAGTGTTAATGGACTCCAGCGTTTGCTTTCTTTGGCCACTACCAGGCGATGTCGTGTGTCGTTAGTGGCAAGAAACAGACTGTCGGATCAATATGAAATTAATACATTCCACTAGAATTCAGATAAATTGAACGTCAAAGTGTGAAATAGATATTCCGTCACCAACTCACATTTTAAGGACGGATAACAATCTATGGATGTGCAACTTCTTATGCAAAGTGAGAGCGATGTTAACATCGCCATCAAGCAAGTGATGGTCCTCAATAAGGATTCAGAGGCATATCTATCTAGGCAATGCGTTGGTAACTGGCTTCCCTATGTCATTGCAGTCCCAACTCCCATTGCACTGGAAAAACACATCCTCACACTTGTATATATGCCTCTCTATCGCGTTCTGTTCGTCACTTCTTTGATATCGATGTTAGAACACGTCGCTCTCACTGTAATAAATAGTTTGTTCATCTATAGATTGGTATACTTCCTTACAGCTCCAACTTCTACATGCCCCTCAATGAAGTTAATACACATTTGGATGAAATTACAGTTCATATGGTTTCTAAAACATTTTTGGGAGGGGTTTTGGTTGAATAGTATACATCTGCACTAAAATAGAATACTTAACTTACAAAAACCCCGTCTCATGTCACGTTCTTTGCGTCATTCAAAGAAAACACTTGAAAACCCATATATCAGATATTTTGTTCAAATGTATTCACTCACTCTCACAATTCCTGGGGTTATGAGATGCTCACATGTCTGATTCAGGATTTTCTTAAAATCTCTAACATAGTGTTTGAAATATGGCTATATTTTATTACATTTACTTAAAATGCTAAGACTGAATTTTCGGTCACTTCACAAAGGACACCCTTAAAGACAAAATGGCGTCAAACGCCGTCTCTGGATCATCTTCCACGTGAAACTGACTCACGCACGTGGTAAAAGCAAGTAACACGCCCTTCCTGTACTCAGTAGTCGTAATGCCTTGTATCTTCAAGTACTGTATCAATTAGGGCACTTTCAAATTGTTGGAATCCATCTTATAGAGAGGCTGTCAGCTTCAGCTTGGAGGCCATTTTGTATGGATAGAGTGTCATGTGTCATGTGTCATGTGATTAGCAACAAAATCACAGGAGATCTCGCATACCGGATGATAGACCATTGAATAAGAGTATGTCGGGCGGTTCGGTAATTGAATCGATCAGAAGATCAATACTGCAACGATATTGGTTCCATGTAAATGACGTACTTGACATTACATTATTCACAACCAAGTAAGTCATTTCTTGTATCAGCTATCAACATGGTCGGACATAGCGTTCCAAAAAAGGGATAGTCCTCGCCATACTTGTGAACAAAACACGTGCAAAGGTTGATCGTTGAGGTGTGTGAAGACACTAGGAGTGTGCCAAACACACATTTAATTCACAGGAACTAACTGCATTGTTTTCGTAATGAACATTTGGAAATATTGGGTTGTATTTTCTGACATCTTCCAAATACATTCACAATATCTATTCGAATCCAATAAATTGGTCAGCATTATCCCTTTCAAACATTCTTTCACTAGCGCCACAACTTTACCAGTTCGAAGCCCCGCTTCATGCCCGGTTGTTTCTATTTACACACTGTACCCATATGGGGAATCGAACCCGTGTCTTCAGTGTGACGAGCAAACGCTTTAACCTCCAGGGTACCCCACCCCTCCACCAGAGTTGGAAAGGAATAACAACCGAGAAACCATATTCAGTTTCTTGTTTCCTGCGTGGAAATTCAAAACAAAGCCAACCTGTGTCCCAAGCTCTGTGACAAGAACGGGGATTTCGATTTACCCATCGTGAATGTCCCTTTCATGTCGGGAACCACACCAACAATTGCAGCTTATGGCGCCTCAATGTCTGAGTTGCGAAGGTGTTTTTGACAATGATTGTACATATCATACACAATTGAAGGAATGACATTTTACTTTCATCTTAGCTTTTCAATCAACCTTACTGAGTGCGACATATTGCTTGGCATCATGACGCGAAATTCTTTCCCATACTATGACATTTACAGACGGTTTTCATCACTCTTTTCTCACTGGTTTGTATTGCATGGATCTCGTAGTGATGGTTGGGGATGTTACCAGCAGTGTGATTCTCATCCGTGATACTGATACTGTGAAACTGATACTGTAATACTGATACCGTGATACTGATACTGACACGTTGATATTGATACGTGATACTGATACTGTGATACTGATACCGTGATACTGATACTTTGATGCTGATACGTGATACTGATACTGTGAAACTGATACTGTGATACTGAAACGTTGATACTAATACGTGATACTGTGATACTGATACTGATACTGTGTTACTGATACTGTGCTACTGATACTGTGCTACTGACACTGTGGTGTAAAACTATGTATAAACCTATGACAGTGTTCTGTTCAGCAGGGAGTACTTATGGATGACGTTTGTTACGAATCCGTACGAGAGTGAGGACTGTGTTTACATGACAAGGCCTGTTTACGTAACCATGTTAAAAAATGTGACTGTTGATCTCATGGACTATTTAGAATATACCATGCTGTATGTCGATCACATGGAGTATATGGAATATGCTATACTGTGGATACATGATAATTAGCAGGTGGGAAACAGTTTAAAATTGTAAGCCAACATGTATATTTAGAGAATAACCAACGAGGTACGAGTGATTACGGGAAATATGCCCTCGTTAAAATAATGTTCAGTGCCTCGCCAAGGCTCGGCACTGTGAACATTATTTCAACTCGGGCATATTTCCCGTAATCACTCGTACCTCGTTGGTTATTCTATTTATTACCCATAATGTAATTTAAAAGGAAGAACCACGAAATAAAAACCACCCGGAGACAGGACTTTAAAATAATGTTCAGTGCCTCGCCAAGGTTCGGCACTGTGAACATTATTTCAACTCGGGCATATTTCCCGTAATCACTCGTACCTCGTTGGTTATTCTATTTATTACCCATAATGTAATTTAAAAGGAAGAACCACGAAATAAAAACCACCCGGAGACAGGACTTGTGACCTTAAACATCTGATTCGTATTCATGCGCGTATTAAACCTAACTGCTCCAGCGGTAATAACATAACTACGCTATGGAAACAGTACATCATAAAATCGCTTTAAAATACAACAAAATTATTATGCCTGGAAAAATTAATTAACATTTGTTAATTTGATAAAAATGATCTTTTAAATATATCATTGAACTTAATAAGAGCTAAACATTTATTCGACCAAGTCAGTGCGACGGAACATCGTTCATTCACGACTGACGTGTTTTCTAGTGAAGGGTGACGGTGTAGTGTTGAAACACACTCTGGCAAAAACCTGTCAATTTTTGGGAAAGTCAACGGTTAGAAGTTGGGGACCGGGTAGACTGCACTTCACGGGTCCCCGGAAGTTTTCGCTACAGACATGCGCAGAAGCCATATTTACATCGAAGCGAGCACTAACGCCGACGCCATTTTTTGTTTGCTCCAGCGAATAACAACATCGCTGTTTTGGCCTTGTTTTGGGCCATTAAATTACCCTTGGATACTAATCGATAATCTTCTCTAGCCCTTCGTTCCTCAACAATGTTTAAGGGTTTGTATTATTTTCTGGATTTGTCAATTGCAATGTTTATTCATATTTTAAGAAGACGCTGACATAAAAATACCCCAGTAATGTATTGTTTCGTTGAAATGAAATATTTTAGCCCTTAGATGCTTCAATATAACCTTCTTTTTCCATTTTCATTTACAATAAACAAAACAGGTAAGTTTACATGATATGTAGCACAGCAAGAAAACAAATATCGAAACGCTTCACTTACCTTATATTACAAGAACAAATCTGCGCCTGAATTGAATTGACTTACCTTACAAGAACAAATCTGCACTTGAATTAAATTCATCTGTGCTTTCATTTTGCATGTCATTTTCTTTATTTTCATTTTCAACCATTTTAAAATATTCATGGTTTTTTGGGGGGTCAAATACACGGCGGATAAAAGTAAGAATTGTAACGAAAGGATCATCAGAACAACGTAAATATTTCTTCCTCACATTGTACTCCACAAAATAACTATCATACAAACCTTTCGTAGTTCCATACCTGGGCAGGGACGCTTTCACTGCATTCCACGTACTCTCAAATTTATTAGTGCACGCACCATTCTCTGCATTCACAAATTCCTTACTATGATTCACTGTCACATGCTCGTATCCCATCTCATTCAGCCTAGCATACGCCTTCCAACAATCAGAATGAATTATCGATCCCGGTCGCACCCACTTTCTCAGCACACTCAAAAGGGTATCAGCATCACGCTTCTCCACAACTTCCAAAAACATCCTGTTACTTTCTTTCTCGATACCCCCAAACACCCACACACCATCCACTCGCCTTCCTCGGTGAAACTTACGCTTCCCAAACTTACTCTCATCAATCTCAACTTCAATCCCTGGCCACCCTATCATCTCATTCTCCTCTTCCATCACAAACAAACACACATCTCTGCAATAATTAAACCAGTCAACCAAAGTGTGATCAGACCCCAGACGCAACTGCACTCTCACAAAATTCTCTCTCACTCGATAAACCCAATAAAATGTCAATTTCATAATTTCACTGACGGACAAATGAGACTTAAAAAAACAAGAATCACGCCTTGCTACAATTTTATGATTGCATTTTTTATTTGAGCAACGCCACACATAACCCTCACTCCGACTCGAATCCTTTCGAGCTTTCCCTGATACTCCCTTACTGTCACACTTCACATGCGACATTTCCCCGATCTGAAATTTCACTAATCAAACCAAACGCTTCCAACCAATCCATCAACTTTCTCTCATCTCTACACAACTCATACAAATCATCATACACCATTCTCCTTACAGCCATAGCTAAGCAAGTCAAATAAACAAGATTGAAATCAAGCGACAAGCAAAATACAACTCACCAACCGTGCGCTTTAAAGTTGTGGCAGTCGTAGTAACCCACTACCTTATTTGGAACATTCGACACGTGCGTCCACAATTGACCAATCAGATAAAAGGAACGTTATCAGGATTTCCCCTTGATTACTAACGATTGGATTGATGTTTTGGAGCATTACTAAAATTCGTGTTTAAAACTATCGTCTTTCAGCATTATTCTTTCAGACGAAGTTTTAAATTAAACTTTTGCCAGTAAACACGAAAATGACCTCTAATTTCGTCTAAAATGTCTCCTAACGGAGATCAGCCCGCTCTCGCGTGCTTCTCTATATATAAGACGCGCTGTGCGCGTCACTTACTGCCGAAGGCAGCAAATGCGCCTTTGTCGCGTGCTCGCGCAAAGCGCGAGCTATAAAGAATACATTTCTACTTCCGGGTCTGGGGACCCGTAAACTGCAGGTGTCCCGAAGATTAAACAACATTTTGTTCTGTGGAAGGCGTGTTACACTCTCGTTTTAGTAGAGTACAGCAGTTGCAAGAAGGACTCTAGTCGGAATCCGAGTCTATGAAATGTGTCAGTCTCTGCATCGGCTACTGGGACCAACCTCTCAGAATGATTAGGAATGCATGGATATAAAAAGTCATCTTGAAGAAGAACATTTAGCAGTGATTCCGGTAAGAAAGGAGCTATTTTCTGGTTCGATGGCATAGACGCCGTGTCCGACCTACTTGTTACACTTTCAGATAACACCTTAGTCGGTATCTTGCTGTTTCTGTTTCCCCGAATTCAGTTTCAACAACAAACAGGTTTTGGGAATTCAAGGGCTGTAAAATTCTTATCACTCTTCCTATTTGGTCACCGTCAACTTTAACTAGGTAAGTGACCTTGATCGGGGTTAGCCTAACGGCGGCCATGTTTGTTTACAAACAATGCAAACGATTGTTTGGTGTTTTTTAAAGATTATATAATTTAAAAAGACTACTATTTATAACGCAGTTTTATTCCAAAATAATAACGTCTAATAAAAAGAATATTCATACTCTTTAACCTCAATGTTATTTTTTTAGATCTCGGAATGTGTGATTACATTACATAATGTCAATTTATCAATGAATCGATGAAACTTTATGAATGAACGTAGTGTGTGAAAGTAGTTCTGGCATCTAATGAAAATGTACAAATATATGATCAACCAATCAACGTCGAGAATCACTAAATTGCACACTGTGCAAATATCAAAAAGATATTACACGGGATCTCCTCACCCGTATGGGTAATAAAAAGGCTTATGTTATGATGTGATGTATCGTGAAAGTAGCATCTGTTGCTACTTAGATTTACAGGCTTATTAAATATTATGTATAGAAGTTGTATATTGTCGTTGTTTATTTTGCCCAATAAGTTTACATTCATATGCGTTGGTCCCATTATACAAACGGACGACTTTTTCATCATGGCGTCGGCCCACGCTATAAAGGACGCGAGCTATGACCTAGTTTCACGAATGATCGTGCAGACGAACAGTATTTCTATCATAATGGCATGTATATATCAATAGAAATGAATATCTGCTATCCGTGATGATTTGCAATAATCCTTTGCTAAACATTTATGACGATGTTTTCGGCTCTGAAGCGCTGCGTTGATTACCATAGCACATGTCACCTCTTTAACAAACGGGATAAGGCGGGGTTTGTTTCGTCTAGCGAGGGTGGTTAAAATATATATAATTTTATGTTGTCATTTTAATGAAGCTCAAAGGCCGCCTCCACCAAGACAAGTCTTTGTAACATCGTCTACGGAACGAGTACTCCCGACAGCAGTAGTAGCAGCAGCAACAGCATCACAGCCATCTCCAGAACCAGCACAAGCCCCAAAGCCAAAGCCAGCAGCAACCCCAGCAACACCGTCACGTGGTTAAAATATGACAGGAACATCGGCACCTGCGGCCGACCCTTCTTTGAAAGGCTTCATAAGCAAGGAAGTCCGAAGAGCAATGATTCGGAGGGTAGGTTTGTAATGTTAGAATGCTGAAAAGGATCATAAAACATATTGTGTTGTTTCACTAGAGCTATATCTATATACGTAAGTTAAGTTAAAATAGCGAAGAAACAACCAACCAACCAATCAATAAATCTCTAGTAAACACAACAAAACACTACGGCATTATTCTCAAAGTTTAAAGAGATATACTGTCTCCTTGTATTACCTTCATAACACCGCCTCATGATACTACTTGAGCCTATGTACCAATACTTTTACAGCTGTACCTTCTCCTCATGGCGATACAGATATCAGCGGTTGGGTCTATCAGTATCTTTGTCTTTATGTAAGTAAACAATGCTTTCTTTAAGGATATAACTTTAGGACGCAATACTGTCTTCTTTCAGATGACTTCTTAGCCCATATGACAAATACAATAATAATTTGATAAAGAGTTAAAATCTTTGGTGATTTAAATCGAATTATTCGTCCTGCGAAACAAGCAGACAGATCACTATATAGATGAAGATCAACACATGTAACATGTAAGCCATGCCATTTCCCATCACTCATCAAGGCAACGTCCTGCAAAATGGGTGATACTGTGTGTTTTTCAGCAAACCGATCACAGGCTGGATGGAGAAGGATGGGTTGCCTCTGCTGTACGCTTTCATGTAAGTGTAAAGTCAGCCCACATACTATCAGCTCTGAGATGGTGAAAGATGTGTAATGTATTCAGTCTGACAGACCCGTCTTTAATCACTTATTCAAAGTGCTTAAGTTTTTCAGACCTCGTGTTGTGCGAAGTTGGGATGTTAAACATGTGACTTCTGTTGACCGACAATAGTCTGAGGATACCTTATATTCATTCATCATTCATCAGCTGTAATAATGAACCAACGTAAGGTCGTGTCAGTTAGATCACACGTCCATTAAACATCCCATGACAGATATTCCTGTTTGTAATGGTGAACCAACGTACGGTCGTGTCAGTTAGATCACACGTCCATTAAACACCCCATGACAGATATTCCTGTTTGTAATGGTGAACCAACGTACGGTCGTGTCAGTTAGATCACACGTCCATTAAACATTCAATGACAGATATTCCTGTTTGTTTTGCAGTGGGGTGTTTCTTTGGGCCTTTGCCGTCTTGGCTATAATCCTCCCAAAAAAGTAAGTACATGTTAGGAGATGAGATATCATCAAGGGATAGACAATATTCCGTTGGAAGTCCTCCGAGTAAGAAACATAGAATCAATTCTTCATCATTGTTCCAAAGGCTAGAAAACGTATTTACATCTACTATGTCAATAATTGATTCGATAAGAAGATCTCTCTGACGGCTTGTCAGCTCGCAGTACATAAAAACATGTTTGACAATATCGTAGGCAAATGTGCCACATATACACTCTTTTGATTGGATACGCAGAGTACTAATATGCACCAAGTTTGCAATACAGTGAAATAAATCAGGTCGTAGGATCGACATTTGCCATAATCTATGTATATTCTGGTCTCGCACTGAATAGTATCTATGTTGATTTTCCCTTGACGTTAACTCTTTACATATATGGATATTTTCAGCATCATGAATTGTTTTCGTAACATGGACATTCCATTGTGCTTTATTAGGAAAGCTGGCAGACACAATGTATGTATTTACATAATCTGTCAGGTCGTATTTATATGTTAATAGTAGCATATGGTAGATAGGGATTTGTACTTTTAGCTTCTCTTTCATAACATGAGTCAAGTAAGAATTGACTAAGTTTAAAGTTTAAGACATTCTTGAATACAAAATTTAAATTACCTCTACATAATTTGCCAAGGAACATAAGACAACGTTTTCTCTATGTATGCTTGGACTGATAGTAAATTTAAACAGTCTCGTGCGACAACTGTCGGAGAACATTTAGAGAGCCCTGGATGTGTTTACAGAAGAAAGATTGAGCTCTTTCAAGTATTTCATACTCTTTTAGATGTTAGTTTACACCATAATTCACATGCAAACAGGGCACATGGTAACATAACTCTGTTCCAGACTCCACAAGCAGACATGGGGTTTAGACCACCAAAGAACAAACCATTGCAGCGATTTGTGTTGACTAACATTCTAAGTTTATCACATGATTTTTGAGTACGCACTAAAGTTGAAGATGCAGTGGTTATGTACAAGCCAGCATACACAACAAGATCTTTTTTGAGTTACAATCTTCTCCCCAATGTAAAATGATGGACATGTATGTTTTTGGGTATTACCAAACAATAAGAATACACTTTTGTCGGCATTATATTTAAGATGCCATTTACAAGAGTACTCAAAACACACATTTAGTGCACACTGTAGGCCATCTATGGCTCCACTTACAATAGTTGTGTCATCTGCTAATAAGATACCTGGCACATTACCCCATGGAAGACTTAAACCGTGTTGTAATGATTCTAGTGCGTATAATAGGTCATTAATATACAATGAAAATAACCAAGCTGACAAAACACAGCCTTGACCAACACCTTGTTTTACAGGAAGTGAGCACCTCTTCTGTAACGTTCTTGTGAACCTCCCTAGGCAAGACCACTTGTCTGTATTAAAAGCTAGTTTCTACCCTGGACACTACCAACCTATGTTGGTAACAAACCTGTGATTATAACCAATGCAAATATGGGATTCAAACTTCTGAAAAAAATCCATTTTGTTATATTTTACTAATCATATTTGTTGTCTTTAAAGTGTTAGAGCTATATGATGCGGGTTAAATCTTTTTTTTTGAGTTCTGCTATTGATGTTCAACAGATGATGCACATTTGCATCTTTCTTTACAGGAAAATGCTTCAAGGAAACGGCATTCGCTTTATCATATTTGTAAGTACCCGGAAAAGTATACAAGTAATGAATTAGTCCTATTAAACCTTTCTTGCAAACCATTGACAGTAAAGAATGCTTGGTCAGAATGGCAGTTGGCATGCCTTATTTGTGCATTGGCAATATATCAGTGGAATATGGTTAGATCAGCTGTTTGTGTCTTACGGTCAGCGTTGGCCGTCTAGACGGATCACAAACCCAAGCCGGCTGAGGCGGACGAACACTAGATTTGATGGTTACAGTCGCTGCTTCGATGTCGAGATCCAGTACAGTCACCTGTAACATTGACTTGTGGATCGAACCTTTACACCTCAACTAGGTGCTATATACAAGGTGTGTGTTTGGTTGGCATGTAATTTACATACAAAGACGTTCTAGCTCCATGCATAACTGTAAATGCATTTGTGTTTCAGAGCTTCACCTATGCATGCCTTCTTGGAGCAGTATCTGGGTGAGTTTAAATCTACCATTTGTGATATATTCATATATTCCTGGAAACAAAATAAAAATACAATATATCTGGACGCTATCCTCTATAGAAAATGTTATCGTTGGTGGCAACTGCCATTTGATCCAGTTGATCATCGCCAGTCAACAATGTTATCTTTAGTATACCTACATAACATAAGATCTTAATGGCATCTACCCACGAGAAGTGGTCCAGATTGTCGATCCTACAAACTGAAATCCTTTGGACACCGATCATCCTCTTACTCTGCACCTGTGCTTTGGAACTCTCTCCCATGTGCCTTTTAAAGCTCTGATACAATTGAAATGTTTAAGTCCAGACTTAAAACCCACCTTTTCTTAGTATATTATGTATAACTTCATCTGTAAATACTCCAGTGTAAATATTCTGTAGCGCTTTCAGCATGCCTTAGGGTGTGGGAGGGCCGCATTATAAATATGCATTTATTATTATGTTTTAAAGATTAAGATGAAAATGCAGCAGAGAGGGTTCGGGTGATCCTGGCACAGTCAGGCTGGTAAGGCTCATCATCAGCTCAGGGCCCTTTTCCCCTCTACACGCAGCCCAGACAGCGAATGGGACTTCTCCCAGGAAACGCTGCCTAGTCGAACCCACCAAGAACTTTCCGGAGAATATGAAGACTCCCCAGCACTACAGCCTTCTACATTACCCAGAGTGTCAAAAGGGCTGTACTCCGGTGGAGAACCCGGGCACTCTCCTGATCTGCGCAAAGAGATCAGGAGGTACCAACCCAAGGGCACTGAGAACAGTGGGGAGCCTGACGACAGTGTACTTGGGAGGCAAGCGAACTATTCCAAAGGCGAGGTCCGCATATTTAGCATTCTTTTCCTGAATCTTGCCAATCACGTTGCTGTCAAAAGGGACAGAAAATTCAATGATATATAAAATAAATTCATTAGCTTTATCCCAAAAGACAAGATCAGGTTTATTGGCTGGAATTCTTCTGAGGCTGTATATGGGCCTATTCAACAAAAGCTTGAAAGCATCATATTCCATCACGCCCTGGACATGTTCACGGTCGTACCATGCATGGACCACAGGCATGGCGAAGACGATAGTAGAAACAACGAGCCATGCCATCATGTCGTTATTGGCAGCTAACATTTGATCCAGTTCATCACCATCACTCAACAATGTTATCTTTAGTATACCTACATAGGATAAGATCTTAATGGCATCTACCCACGAGAAGTGGTCCATGTGTCGTTATTGGCAACTGACATTTGATCCGGGTCAACACTCCCAGTCCAAGGCGTTACCTGTGTAGTGTTCATGGACTCTAGCGTTTGCTTTCTTTGGCCACTACCAGGTGACGCCGTGCGTCGTTAGTGGCAAGAAACAGACTGTCGGATCAATATGAAATTAATACATTCCACTAGAATTCAGATAAATTGAACGTCATAGTGTGAAATAGATATTCCGTCACCAACTCACATTTTAAGGACGGATAACAATCTATGGATGCGCCACTTCTTATTTAAAGCAAGAGCGATGTTAGCATCGTCATCAAGCAAGTGATGATCCTCAATAAGGATTCAGAGGCATTTCTATCTAGGCAATTTCTATATATTTCTATCATTTCTCTCTATCATTTTCTGTTCGTCACTTCTTTGATATCGATGTTAGAACACGTCGCTCTCACTGTAATACAGAAGTTGTTCATCTATAGATTGATGTACTTCCTTACAGCTCCAACTTCTACATGCCCCTCAATGAAGTTAATACACATTTTGATGAAATTACAGTAAGTTTCTGTTCATATGTTTTTAAAAACATTTGTTGGAGGGGCTTTGGGTGGAGTAGTACAAATCTGCACTAACTTACAATACTTTAAAAAAAACCCGTCTCGTGTCATGTTCTTTGCACCAGTCAATTTTTTTAATAACAGGCGTTGAACACGTGCAAACATGTATCAAACATGTATATTTTGCTCAAATGTATTTCCATCAATGTTGTATTCCAGGCATTTTGCAACCTACAGCTTGCTGTCCGCTAGTGTAATGATGGGACTCACCTACCTGTCTGTCGCCATCTTTTCCGTAAAGGTAGGGACGATGACAGGACTAGAAACTGTCTTTCTAAACTTTGTAAGATATTCCATTAAACTCTCTTTACATGTTTGTTATGAAATTTTGGCTGAAAGCGTTCGCTCGTCACGCCGAAAGACCCGGGTTTCGATTCTTCACATGGGTACAATACGTGAAGCCCATTTTCTGTGTCCCCCGCCGTGATATTGCTGGAATATTGCTAAAACTAAACTCACTCATTCACTCACTTATGTTACTAATAAAACGTGAAATACACAAACCTTGTCCATGTTTAGTCAGGTAAGTTATGGGGCAGTGAGGTAGTGTTCGTTCTTCCAGCCGAAGTTCCGGGTTCGATTCCACACTTAGGTACAATATTTGGAACCCATTTCTGATGTCCCATTGAAGAAATAGAGGCGTGGAACCCGACTTACCTACTCAGCCTTTTAACCCGTTAAGATCCGGGTTAGATTTGTCTTCAGTAACCCATGCTTGTCGTAAGAGGCGACTAACAGGATCGGGTTGTTGATACATGTCATCTTATCCCAATTGCGAGATCGATGCTCATGCTGTTGGTCACTGGAATGTCTAGTCCAGACCCGTTTATTTACAGACTGCAGCCATATAATTGGAATATTGCTGAGTGCGGCGTTAAACAACGACCATCGAACTTCTCAGTGTTTAACTTATGTAACACAACCTTTATGTTTTAGGCTGACATCAACATGAAGAAGGGGCTGATTTTTGTCACCGTCGTGGTGTTCGTCGTCATTGGCGCCATTTGCATCGGCACTTACTTCGCCTTTGGACTTTACAAGGTGAATGACAGTGAAGGACCATGCCACATACCTCTGTCAAGCACCACGAGCACAGAAAATACTATTTTCATTATAGTCATTGAACAAATTCTTTCTGTAAGACATGAAACCTAAACATAAAACTTAAAAATTTCCACCCAGCCCTACTGTACTTGTAAAGCAGTAGATGGTGTAGTCTTTTCGTCAAGTTCTGAATCTTGGCTTATACTTTACATATTAAATGGCGTCTTTTTTACCAGTGAACAACGTATTTAACTTACCAAACACCTTAATGGTAATTTTGAACTGTTTGAAGCACGGGTATCGGATCATTGTGGGGAGTACCAGACGACAAGACAAGAAAAACAACTTTTGAGTTATCTCCCTTCCATCGATTTGCATTTGCAAAACATCGGTAATTTCCGCTGAAGGAGCCGTTGTCGGCACAGGTACTACAGATATGTACCCCATGTACGTTTCTGTATACATATATGTACCCTAAACAAAGTCAAAATACAGAAACGTAGCCGGTACCCTAAAAGGCGGACGAGTCCATATTCTGCAATCCCAAACCGAAACCGCATGTAGTTGTTCCCGTTTTTTCAACTGATTCCGAGTGGTATTCATTATCGCGAAATATCCGTTACTGTGTATTCTCATTACTTACATAACGCATTCAAATGTATCTAGTACAACAGTGCGACAGTTCCGATCAAGAATACGACAAAATGGGAATGGAATCGTCCTAGGGTACGTTTCTGTATTCTCATTATGGCCAGGGTACCTGGGGTACATATCTGTAGTACCCGTGCCGACAACGACCCCTTCAGCGTAATTTCCGTCCATCATACGTCATTCAATGTTATCCGAGACAAAGAATTACTACTACGAAGTAGCAAATGAGTTCGGCATTCCCATCGGGGTACATAGAAAATGTTACTCGCTTGTAGACGGGGTACATTGAAAATAATAGAAGATCGCTCAGCCAATCAGAAAACGACATTTATGTGTGAGGCAGGATAAGGAAAGTTGTTAAAGCGTCATTGACCAATGAAATTAAAGTATTTTACATGAAGGTATAGATAATAAACGTTAATCCTACCGCGTGTCTTTATCTGGAACATCCTAGACAACCATGGGACTGGCTGCCGTGGTCCTAATACTAAAATTCAACCGTTTTATTGTGCTCAGTGATGGCAGTGGACATTTTGCCATCAATACATTGGTAGTTAAGCAGTAAAACATGTTTTGTTGTAGTTTAACCAGTTGTGTTGTAGTTTAACCTGTTGTGTTGTAGTTTTACCTGTTGTGTTGTAGTTTAACTTGTGTTGTAGTTTTACCTGTTGTGTTGTAGTTTAACTTGTGTTGTAGTTTTACCTGTTGTGTTGTAGTTTAACCAGTTGTGTTGTAGTTTAACATGACACAAGCTTGCAACATAAACGGTTCTCCTGTTCCATGGTGTTATAACACACTTATGTGTATGAGGGTGAGTATTTTTGCATAAAAAGGTGAATACCTTATATGTTTATATTGACAGCTCCGGGACACTGCCATTGGTGGAGCCATTGCAATTGTCATGTGTGAGGTAAGTGAATAGGATGGACAGATGCAGATGAATTTCCGAGTAAAAGGAAAAATTAAAGAAGTCTTATGTCTAAATGAAAACACGAATTCTGTATGGATCGTGAAAAAACTGACGGCGGATTTTTTATGCATAAATGTGCAGAATACAGGAACCTCATGACATTGTTTTGTACTAAGTAACATTATACCAACTGTAACTATAGTTTCTATAAGGATTATATGTTATGAGAGTTTGTGTGAACAATAACTTACATTAAATTACTATTCTTAATGCATCGTTAGTACAAGGGCATGGTTATCAAAGCAGCTTCGTTTTTAGTGTTTTAATGTGCTAAGTAAGCATGTAGATAGTAGACGAGATGCATTGTTTGTCGAAGTACGTCCACATCATGTGATTAAAAATACAGAGATTAAAACCTGATGAAGATCAGAGAACGCCGAAGTGTACTCGTTAATATTATTACAATTCGTGATGCTAGTTTATTCTCTTTCAGCTCTTTACGGCGTCCATTCAGCTGATGCTAGCTAAGGACAACCATGGTTGCACCAATGAGAACCCCTGTCTGGCTTTCTTTAATATATTTTCGCATATGAAGGATGCAATTATCTTTTGGATTGTTAATATTTTGTGTTGCGCCATATAGCCTGTGCTGCGAATGCTGTTCAGATTCCAAGACCCGGTAGATTCTCCGCCATGGCTAGCTGAGACACGACACACGGCATATTGTATGTTTTATTTACTTGATAACTAACAATATCAGTAATGTCAATATTAATTTGTTTTAGGTATATGGTGTGATATTTTCCCGTCTAAGAACTGAAGTGCCTTTTGTTTGGTGGGTAGGTCTACTGATATTGATTTTGTTTGTTTTACTTAACTCGATCATGAATAGCATTGCTGGTTAATTATCTCTGTTCAGATTTCCCCTGACAGTAGAATTTCATCATCAGCATTACGACTGGTTTTGTCCCCAAAGTTACAAAGAACAAAACATAATTCTTCACATATTTACATGTTCATTTTGGACCAAGATTGGAATGAAAAACTTTGGTCTTAAGTTGTACTGAAACAATATGTGCGACAAAGATGTGGCACATCTGTCTGGTATTGATGTGGCACCCTGGTCCTGGTAGGTTCAACTGACACACACATAGTGTTAACTGTCTGGTAGTGATGTTGACACACCCTGGTCTTGATAGGTTCAACTGACACACACATAGTGTTAACTGTCTGGTAGTGATGTTGACACACCCTGGTCTTGATAGGTTCAACTGACACACACATAGTGTTAACTGTCTGGTAGTGATGTTGACACACCCTGGTCCTGGTAGGTTCAACTGACACACACATAGCGTTAACTGTCTGGTAGTGATGTTGACACACCCTGGTCCTGGTAGGTTCAACTGACACACACATAGCGTTAACTGTCTGGTAGTGATGTTGACACACCCTGGTCCTGGTAGGTTCAACTGACACACATATAGTGTTAACTTTCTGGTAGTGATGTTGACACACCCTGGTCCTGGTAGGTTCAACTGACACACACATAGTGTTAACTGTCTGGTGGTGATGTTGACACACCCTGGTCCTGGTAGGTTCAACTGACACACACATAGTGTTAACTGTCTGGTAGTGATGTTGACACACCCTGGTCCTGGTAGGTTCAACTGACACACACATAGTGTTAACTGTCTGGTAGTGATGTTGACACACCCTGATCCTGGTTGGTTCAACTGACACACACATAGCGTTAACTGTCTGGTAGTGATGTCGCACCCTGGTGTTGATAGGTTCAACTGTCACGCACATGGTGTTAACTGTCTGGTCGTGATGTTGACACACCCTTGTCCTGGTAGGTTCAACTGACACACACATAGCGTTAACTGTCTGGTAGTGATGTCGCATCCTGGTGTTGATAGGTTCAACTGACACGCAAATGGTGTTAACTGTCTGGTAGTGATGTTGACACACCCTGGTGTTGGTACGTTCAACTGACACACACATAATGTTAACTGTCTGGTCGTGATGTTGACACACTCTGGTCCTGGTAGGTTCAACTGACACACACATAGTGTTAACTGTCTGGTCGTGATGTTGACACACCTTGGTCTTGATAGGTTCAACTGACACACACATAGTGTTAACTGTCTGGTAGTGATGTTGACTCACCCTGGTCTTGATAGGTTCAACTGACACACACATAGTGTTAACTGTCTGGTAGTGATGTTGACACACCCTGGTCCTGGTAGGTTCAACTGACACACACATAGTGTTAACTGTCTGGTAGTGATGTTGACACACCCTGGTCCTGGTAGGTTCAACTGACCCACACATAGCGTTAACTGTCTGGTAGTGATGTTGACACACCCTGGTCCTGGTAGGTTCAACTGACACACACATAGTGTTAACTGTCTGGTAGTGATGTTGACACACCCTGGTCCTGGTAGGTTCAACTGACACACACATAGTGTTAACTGTCTGGTAGTGATGTTGACACACCCTGGTCCTGGTAGGTTCAACTGACACACACATAGTGTTAACTGTCTGGTAGTGATGTTGACACACCCTGATCCTGGTAGGTTCAACTGACACACACATAGTGTTAACTGTCTGGTAGTGATGTTGCACCCTGGTGTTGATAGGTTCAACTGACACGCACATGGTGTTAACTGTCTGGTAGTGATGTTGACACACCCTGGTCCTGGTAGGTTCAACTGACACACACATAGCGTTAACTGTCTGGTAGTGATGTCGCACCCTGGTGTTGATAGGTTCAGCTGACACGCAAATGGTGCTTAACTGTCTGGTAGTGATGTTGACCCACCCTGGTCTTGGTACGTTCAACTGACACACACATAGTGTTAACTGTCTGGTAGTGATGTTGGCACACTCTGGTCCTGGTAGGTTCAACTGACACACACATAGTGTTTACTGTCTGGTCGTGATGTTGACACACCCTGGTCCTGGTAGGTTCAACTGACACACACATAGTGTTAACTGTCTGGTAGTGATGTTGACACACCCTGGTCCTGGTAGGTTCAACTGACAGACACATAGCGTTAACTGTCTGGTCGTGATGTTGACACACCCTGGTCCTGGTAGGTTCAACTGACACACACATAGCGTTAACTGTCTGGTAGTGATGTCGCACCCTGGTGTTGATAGGTTCAACTGACACACGCAAATGGTGTTAACTGTCTGGTAGTGATGTTGACCCACCCTGGTGTTGGTACGTTCAACTGACACACACATAGTGTTAACTGTCTGGTAGTGATGTTGGCACACTCTGGTCCTGGTAGGTTCAACTGACACACACATAGTGTTAACTGTCTGGTCGTGATGTTGACACACCCTGGTCCTGGTAGGTTCAACTGACACACACATAGTGTTAACTGTCTGGTAGTGATGTTGACACACCCTGGTCCTGGTAGGTTCAACTGACAGACACATAGTGTTAACTGTCTGGTCGTGATGTTGACACACCCTGGTCCTGGTAGGTTCAACTGACACACACATAGTGTTAACTGTCCGGTCGTGATGTTGACACACCCTGGTCCTGGTAGGTTCAACTGACACACACACAGTGTTAACTGTCTGGTCGTGATGTTGACACACCCTGGTCCTGGTAGGTTCAACTGACACACACATAGTGTTAACTGTCTGGTAGTGATATTGACACACCCTGGTCCTGGTAGGTTCAACTGACACACATAGTGTTAACTGTCTGGTGTGATGTTGACACACCCCTGGTCCTGGTAGGTTCAACTAGTGTTAACTGTCTGGTAGTGATGTTGACACACCCTGGTCCTGGTAGGTTCAACTGACACACACATAGTGTTAACTGTCTGGTCGTGATGTTGACACACCCTGGTCCTGGTAGGTTCAACTGACACACACATAGTGTTAACTGTCTGGTCGTGATGTTGACACACCCTGGTCCTGGTAGGTTCAACTGACACACACATAGTGTTAACTGTCTGGTCGTGATGTTGACACACCCTGGTCCTGGTAGGTTCAACTGACACACACATAGTGTTAACTGTCTGGTCGTGATGTTGACACACCCTGGTCCTGGTAGGTTCAACTGACACACACATAGTGTTAACTGTCTGGTAGTGATGTTGACACACCCTGGTCCTGGTAGGTTCAACTGACACACACATAGTGTTAACTGTCTGGTAGTGATGTTGACACACCCTGGTCCTGGTAGGTTCAACTGACACACATAGTGTTAACTGTCTGGTCGTGATGTTGACACACCCTGGTCCTGGTAGGTTCAACTGACACACACATAGTGTTAACTGTCTGGTCGTGATGTTGACACACCCTGGTCCTGGTAGGTTCAACTGACACACATATAGTGTTAACTGTCTGGTAGTGATGTTGACACACCCTGGTCTTGATAGGTTCAACTGACACACACAACTTCTGGTAGTGTTAACTGTAACTGTCTGGTAGTGATGTCGCACCCTGGTGTTGATAGGTTCATCTGACACGCACATGGTGTTAACTGTCTGGTAGTGATGTTGACACACCCTGGTCCTGGTAGGTTCAACTGACACACACATAGTGTTAACTGTCTGGTAGCGATGTTGACACCCTTGTGTTGATAGGTTCAACTGACACGCAAAATGGTGTTAACTGTCTGGTAGTGATGTTGACACACCCTGGTCCTGGTACGTTCAACTGACACACACATAGTGTTAACTTTGTCTGGTAGTGATGTTGACACACCCTGGTCCTGGTAGGTTCAACTGACACATACATAGTGTTAACTGTCTGGTTGTGATGTTGACACGCCCTGTGCCTGGTAGGTTCAACTGACAGACACATAGTGTTAACTGTCTGGTAGTGATGTTGACACACCCTGGTCCTGGTAGGTTCAACTGACAGACACATAGTGTTAACTGTCTGGTCGTGATGTTGACACACCCTGGTCCTGGTAGGTTCAACTGACACACACATAGCGTTAACTGTCTGGTAGTGATGTCGCACCCTGGTGTTGATAGGTTCAACTGTCACGCACATGGTGTTAACTGTCTGGTCGTGATGTTGACACACCCTTGTCCTGGTAGGTTCAACTGACACACACATAGCGTTAACTGTCTGGTAGTGATGTCGCACCCTGGTGTTGATAGGTTCAACTGACACGCAAATGGTGTTAACTGTCTGGTAGTGATGTTGACACACCCTGGTGTTGGTACGTTCAACTGACACACACATAGTGTTAACTGTCTGGTAGTGATGTTGACACACCCTGGTCCTGGTAGGTTCAACTGACACACACATAGTGTTAACTGTCTGGTCGTGATGTTGACACACCCTTGGTCTTGATAGGTTCAACTGACACACACATAGTGTTAACTGTCTGGTAGTGATGTTGACTCACCCTGGTCTTGATAGGTTCAACTGACACACACATAGTGTTAACTGTCTGGTAGTGATGTTGACACACCCTGGTCCTGGTAGGTTCAACTGACACACATATAGCGTTAACTGTCTGGTAGTGATGTTGACACACCCTGGTCCTGGTAGGTTCAACTGACCCACACATAGCGTTAACTGTCTGGTAGTGATGTTGACACACCCTGATCCTGGTAGGTTCAACTGACACACACATAGTGTTAACTGTCTGGTAGTGATGTTGACACACCCTGGTCCTGGTAGGTTCAACTGACACACACATAGTGTTAACTGTCTGGTAGTGATGTTGACACACCCTGGTCCTGGTAGGTTCAACTGACACACACATAGCGTTAACTGTCTGGTAGTGATGTCGCACCCTGGTGTTGATAGGTTCAACTGACACGCACATGGTGTTAACTGTCTGGTCGTGATGTTGACACACCCTTGGTCCTGGTAGGTTCAACTGACACACACATAGCGTTAACTGTCTGGTAGTGATGTCGCACCCTGGTGTTGATAGGTTCAACTGACACGCAAATGGTGTTAACTGTCTGGTAGTGATGTTGACCCACCCTGGTGTTGGTACGTTCAACTGACACACACATAGTGTTAACTGTCTGGTAGTGATGTTGACACACCCTGGTCCTGGTAGGTTCAACTGACACACACATAGTGTTAACTGTCTGGTCGTGATGTTGACACACCCTGGTCCTGGTAGGTTCAACTGACACACACATAGTGTTAACTGTCTGGTAGTGATGTTGACACACCCTGGTCCTGGTAGGTTCAACTGACAGACAC